CGGTCTTATGAGCATAAAAATCTACTGCGCTGTTTAATCTGTTTGAGACTAGATTATGGCGCAATTCGCAGTCGGATGTTTATAAGCCGTTTTCGAAATTCCAGGAATTGGCTGGTCTATAGGACAAATTCAAGCCATTGACAAGTAAATTCAAACCATCAGTCGCACCAAATATGGAACCAACGCCACTTAAAAATAGAGTCAAACTGCGAGATAGATACCTCACTAGGACCACTACCTGGTTGGTCACTCTTAAAGATGTACAATGTCTGGCTGGAGATAAAAGACATACGAGTATAAGGATTGGATAGGGATCGCCGTACTCCAGGTTGGAAAAAACGGCGCACAATGCATGAGGCCGTAGGAGTTAGACAATTTTACTAGAAGCGTGTATGTGAGTAGTATGCGAGTCAATAAATAGCTTGATAGACTCCGACGACGGTCAAATTCACAAATCAAATCTAGAAAATCGGAATACGTCAGTATTTACGACCGTTACTTTACCAACTACGCTGGACGCGAGCACTGCACTCCCAAATGCAAATCCGCGAGCAATAACATAACAAGGCCGACTAAAGTGTGTGTCATCTGTGGTCCGGTGGGCGATATGAAAAAACATCAACTGGAGGAAGTCCAGCACCAGTTTTGGTTTAGGATGAAGTTCAACAGGTTCTCAGAGGGCGTTTCGGTTGGTTCAGACCGTACGGAAGCTCGGTTCTCAAAAACATATTTCCACATCATTGTCGAGTTACCCCACCTCCTCCATAGACCTAATTTGACAAGGGAGATTAAATTAATGCCGTTATAATATCATGAGAAATGCGAAGAGGACAAGGAGAAAAACTGTGCGCAGGGCCAAACTGTGGTCAGACAAGGTTAACAGAATTATACATTCGTAATTCAACAACCATACATAGGAGACACTTGGCACACGTTGGCTCCAGCGTTTACTTTGAAAGTCCACAATATATGTAATGTGTAAACACAAGGTAACACTTGTTCCAGCACATGAACTGACCGTTCCGTATTCGAGTTCGTAGTCCTCGGAGTAGCATTCGCCGGGAAGTTTGTTGGCCTTTCTGACAGGGACGAAGGCACAATTTAGTTTGGCGGCCAGCATGGGTCCAAGGAGGAATCCCCGAGCCTCCAGACCAACGACAGCATCCACGGGCTAATTTATTGATCACAAAGAACTGTTGGGAATTAACCTTATCCTTCGCGTAATGTTTGGCAACCATATCAGCGAGCAACTCTACGGAGTCATTAATCAGCGCGGGGTTCCTAAAAATGCCGAAAATGTCTCTAAACTCGATTTCGGGACAAAGCAAATGCAGTTTACTTGAACTGGATTCCCTTCTTCGGAAAATCAGGATAGTTATCAATGGCATCCTTGATTTTTTGGATCCTAAAAAAAGTGATAACTGCCGAAAGCAGATTACCCACCTTGTGTCCATGAGTAGTAAACAAGATTAACGGTGTACCGTGGGGAGAGCTTGTTAGGAGTGATTGAATACGATATTTTGCGGAACGCTTCCGCCGGCTATCAGGCGATTGGTCGAACCCTTTCACGCAAGCTGCCATGCCTTCTACGGCTCTTCGTAAGTTTACGTTTTGCTAACTTATGCTTGAGGGATAATGTGCTGGAAATCCGTTATTACCCAGTTCATTACCTTATTTATTTCCTCTTGTGACAGACGGTTGTTTAAAACGGTAATTTTCGTCCCCGCCTCTCCTTTTTCAGAATCCGCGCTCATGTGGACACGAATTGACGCCTCCCGCCGCGACCTTCCGCTAAGTTCCCGTTCTCCTTTTCCATCTTCCGATCCGATTATTTTTGTATTTCTACTCTTATTTTTTCGTATCATGACGTCTAGTCTACGTAGAGAAACGTTTTCCCGCATTATCCATTTGACTCCCGCACATTTTACCGAATTGTTAGCGGTTGCATATCCCATTGCTTACTATCAAAATAAGATCCGCCTGAGTTTTATTTACTCATCCATTTGTTTATGTTTCGATAATAAATTATTTGCTGTTTATCTGTCTATCTGTTATGTCTACACCACCCTTGTCCCTTGCCAGTGTGTATGAAAACGTAACGGAAATTTTGGGGGAAATAAGTTTAGCATCCCGATCGGTGGAGCCAAAACCCTTTGCCCCAATATTTGACGGCTATAAACTTCGACATGCGTTACCCTTCATGGTCGCTTCATTGGTGGCAGCTAGTTAACCTACCGCCCGGTTTTCCGATACATCCCCCCGCCCCTTACCTCCCGACTGCAGCCCTCCCACCCCACTATATGCACGTTTTAGGGCCTAACCCTCTGTTAACCCTGGACGTTTATGAGCCCGGCCGCAGCACTCGG